CTGCCGGCGCGCTGCTGCCGCTGCATGCGGACAGCGCGGCCACGGCCGGCCCTTGCCGGCCGTCCGGCAACAACTCATGAACTATCTGACTTCAAATGGCATAACATGAGCATGAGAACTAATTTAAACTGAAAACATGAATTTTTGCCCAATGAACGGAACTTGGACGCGGCAGACGCACCGTGCGCCGCCGACGGCGTTAAACCGTTTTTACGACCGAGCCTCATTTCCTCTCGGCAAATCATACTTAACTGAACATGATCAATGATTACTGAATAAAATAACATGATATACTCTCGAAGGATGTGAACTTAATATAACTAACACATGCGAACGGCCCGTGGTGCGCTAGATGCGCGACCACATCCCACGGCCTAACTATCGAGCCAAAACATGAACATTTCTCGAACAAAACCCTTAGACTGAACATGATATCACATCAAATTACTAAACATGCGAGGGTTGTTCGGAGAATTCGAACATAACATAATCTTGTACGACTACTCGCACGACCGCAACGACATGCGACACGCATACAAGCTTAAACTGAAAGTTGAACTGAAAGAACATGATAATCTCGGCTTACTATCGTACGAGAATTACCTCCGACTAAGCTCGAGTGATAACACTCCTCGGATTCCCGTGTTCGGGCGTGACCCTTCGCGTGCGCGTTGCCGTGTGGTACTAGCTTACGGTACGACTGATTGCCGTGCGTGTACTCCCCACAAACCCTCACAGACTCTCTATATTTAGATGAAATATAAGGCTGAAGTGTTGGGAGAAAATCAGCCCCAACTCTTGCTTTTATACTTGAACCGTAAGAATGAGATGATGAAGCGGTGTGGTGTTTAACCAAACTAATGACAGTTGCCCCAAAATAAAATAATTTAAGATGACTAATCACTATCTTAACTCATGATATGCCACGTATAAGTCCCAAAAAGTGAAGAACAATTTCATGACTTAGAAGATAAAAATCCGTACGGCATTTGGGACTTTATTTCCCAATAGTACGGCTTTAATACTTAAGCTCATGATTAATTATCAATTAATCACTTCATTATGTTTAATTATTTAATTAAACATAATACTTAATTACCAAAATTATTCTGAACGTAAACGGTACGTCGAAAATAATTTACGATAATCTCGACTGAAATATCTTAATTCGAAATAATAAATAATTTCGAATTCTTGACTTGGACGATTAATCCGAATATTAATATTTCGAATAATTTGTCAATTTAACTAATTAATTCCGAATTCATTAATTACTGAAACTAAATCGGAATTAATTTTGAAAACTTATTCGGTTACTAAAATAAGTAAACCGAATAACTTATCGAAATAGTCGAACATAGAATATAACTGACTCATTAATCTGAACTTGAACATGAACATGATTATTTATTAATAAAGGTTAGCTTAAAACTAAAAGCTAGTATTTTCCTTTATTAATAAAATACGGGGCGTTACAGGATTATGTAATTTTTTAAATTTTATCTTTCGTGTTGTGATCGTGTGTTGATGACCGAGAGATCACAAAGATCGACGAAGCTCGAAAAATCAACCGGATATGGGCTAAAGGACCCGCCGACAACCGCTCGAGGGGTTGTCAACGCGGCGGATCAGCGGCAGCGAACTGGCCGCGGGGAAAGAAAAAAAAATTGCCGACGACTTTTTCTGGCCAACCGGCTGTAGCAGTGGACTGGCGGGCGGCAGCTGGTGGCAGACGATTTTCTTATCAGGCAAGCAATACAATATCTATCAGGATTCCACTGCAGTGGGAGTTTCCAGTTGGACAAGGAAAGAATCTGATAAGTTTCCTTGTTTAAGGAGACTCAATAATTAATTGTCATAATAGTGGATTTATTTATTTAAATTTATTATGCCATTTATTTATTTATTTATTTATGCATGTTAATTCATTATTGCTTTTGCATGAGATTATTCAGATTTGCATTAATTAATATGTATGTTAATTAATTATTGCTTTTGCATGAGATTAATTTAGATTTGCATGAATTAATATGCATGTTAATTAATTATTACTTTTGAATGAGATTAATTTAGAATTGCATAAATATTTAAAAATTCTCATTTACATGATACTAAGTTTGAGAAGGAATATTAAATTAAAGTTAATTTCAAAATTCCTAAGGCATCCATTTCTAATTTTTTGGTAAACTAATTAATTGAAAGTATGAGTTTTCCCATGGATGACATCACTAAAATTTATTGTAGGAAATTATCAGAACAAATTTCTAAATTTAGAGGATTCGAGAAAATCTTATGCGAGCGTACAACCTCCACACGGGGGACGCATAATCAATTTTGACGACCTCAAGATCGGGAAATGAGATTCACTTAGAATGCGATTTAATTTATAAACACCCCACGGGGTCCCTGAATTTTATCATGGCCAAATAATGACCGACTATTAATTTCGTTCATCATGAATTTGATTTTGACTTGTGGAAAGTAATGGGTTTTTGAAAAGCCCTTCCCTTGCGAATGTTGAGTATGAAGGGCGACCCACGTAGCATACTTACTCACGATGTGTAGAGATGTCGGTGAATTTAAGTTAATATTGTTTTGAGGATAATAGTATTAACAATTAAATTCAAAATGATTAACCTGTAAAATTATGTTCATGATTCTCAGGCTATTCATCATGTCGTTCAATCTGTTATATGTCATTCTAAAAGAAAATCAGCTTACTGGTCCTAATTACATTGATTGGAAGAGGAACTTAGACATTGTGTTGACTGCTGAGAGGTATAAGTTTGCGATCAATGAGGCTTTCCCTGAAGAGCCCGCAGTCGATGCTCCTGAACAAGAGAAATGGGTGTATGCCAGCTGAAAGAAAGCTGATGAGATGACGAAGTGTTACATTCTTGCATCTATGTCGAATGTTCTTAAACATCAGCATCAGTCTATGAACACCGCGACAGACATACTTCTCAATCTCAGGAATTTGTTTGGGCATCAGTCTAGGGCTGCTAGGGAGGAGGCTTTGAGTGCTCAGTTGAGTACGCGTATGGCCAAAAAGACACCTGTAAGGGAGCATGCTCTAACGTTTATGGCGCAACTCAATGAGCTTGAGGTTATGAGAGTTTTTATTGACGGGGAAACCCAGGTTGATATTATGCTTCAATCTATGTCGAAGAGCTTTGATCAGTTTTGGTTGAACTACAACATGCACAACATGAATATGACTCTTCCAGAACTGTTAGCTGAACTTCAATTGGCTGAAGCCTTGTTCGTTGAGAATCCTCAGGTTCTAGTCGCCGAGCAGGCTGGACCTTCCAGGCCTCACAAGGACAGGAAGAGAAAGAAGTCTGCAGGAAAGACGAAGGCACAAGATGCTCTGGTTGCCTCGTGACCGGCCCCTCAGGCTGTGACAAAGAAACCAAAAAGATGCCACAAGTGCAACAAGTCAGGACAGTGGAAGGTCGACTGCCCTCTCCTCAAGAAAGGTAACTCTCATATTAATGTCGTAGAAACATGTTTAGCGATTGTATCTACCAGAATCTGGTGTGTAGATACTAGAGCCACTGATAATGTCTGCAATTCTTTGTAGGGATTCCAGGAAACCAAAAGACTTAAGGAGGGAGAGATCACCGTTTACATGGGCAATGCGACGAAAGTGGCGGATGTTGCAGTGGGAGACGTTACTTTTATCTTTTGATAGTAGTAGTTTAGTTTTAAGACATTGTCTTTATGTTCCTAGTTTTAGAAAGAACCTTGTTTCAGTTTCTAAGCTTGTTTTGGATGGTTTTTCATTTACGTTTGATTACTTGGTTATTATTCGTTATGGAAATCGTTTGACGTTACATTATCAATTATGTTCGTCTGTTTGTCGCATAGTTGATCGTATAATTATCTTGCAGTTTATCAATTATCTTTGTGTGTATGTGGCATAGCTTATCACATAATTGTTTCGCACTTTATCAATTATCTTCGTCTCTCTGTTGCATAGCTTATCATATAATTGTTTTTGCACTTTATTGGATAAAAAAATTTAACTTTTTATTGGACATTGTGTAAAATTTATATGAGTGAAAATAACTATTTCCTCTTTAAGGGTGAATTTAATTGGGATTTCAAGTGACATTTTGAGATTTTTTAAGATTTGTGATTTGTTAAGATTTTCAAATTTTGGAGAAATTATGTGAAATCCTTAGTTTAAAGGTGAGATTTGAAGTGAGATTTTATATAAGATTTTTTATTAGAAATCTCACCAAATTTTAACAAATCAATCATAACAAATCAGTCTTAACAAATCATAGTGTCAAATAAGTTAAATACACAAGAATTTATAAGTCATTTTAAAATTCTAAATGAAGAAAACTTTTAAAAATCTTAACAAATCTAAATTATTAGCAAAGGCTAGTTCGGTATTAGTGGCTACAGAATATGTGCAGCGTTGTCGTTGGATCCACACAGTAGTTTGGTAGTTGGTTTTCTCATCAGCAGAGGATCGAGCATAGTAGATCGTCTCAACTCTCTCCCTCTTTCTAGCTGTTCGGGCCGGGCTCTGATTGAAGATGTTCAAATTCTTGAAAGGAGTGGTTGGCGGATCGGGTCCGGGCCTCAAGGATCTGCCATATAACATTGGGGAACCGTACTCTTCAGCATGGGGCTCCTGGGTGCATCATCGTGGCACCTCCAAGGTTTCTATCTGTTCTGTTTACTATGCGATTGAGTTGTGGTTACCAGATTTTGATCCAATTTGGCTGGTTTCTTGTCGAATTTTCTCCAATTTTCCTTGTTAACTTGTGATATAGCAAGATCAATTACTCTAGGGCGACGGTTTCATTTTCAATATATCTTATGTGAGAACGATTGCTACGTTTTAATTTGAAGTAAAATAAGGCAAAACAAATGAAAGAATACAAAATTTGTGAAGAGATAAGAGTTGGCGAGAAAAGTATTTGAACATATACTTTGCCGAACTAACATTTTCATTTTGGTGATTACCATGAGTTCACCATTTTTTTATTTTTTTTGAAATTCAGAAGTGCTCTATCTAGGCTAGATGTGATTAAAATATGTTCTGGTAGTTTGTACTTGATTTGCCTGAAGTTACTATTATTTTGAAGTTTAATCGTGTTCTTTTTGTTTTGTTCTTTTCTCTTTTGGTGCTTTTGTGCCAATTTTTCTTAGTGATCATGGACAAGGCCTCTAATTTCATTTATTTTATTTGATTTCATAGGATGATGGGGCTCCTGTCTCAATATTCTCTCTTTCAGGGAGCCATGCGAACGATGGACCTCTAATTGCTGGTCGTAATGGTGTCAAACGCCTTCGAACGGTGAGCTACTGATGGATCTGTCTCACTTACAAGATGATCAGTACTTTATCCTTTTATTTCCATAGACCTCTAATTGCTGGTCGTAATGGTGTCAAATGCCTTCGAACGGTGAGCTACTGATGGATCTGTCTCACTTACAAGATGATCAGTACTTTATCTTTTTATTTCCATATCCTTGATTGACTAACTCATGTGTTACCTTTCGGGCCAGATCATTCTCTGGAACTCAGATTATAGAAGTTTTGTTGGATTGTTTTGCCCCTTTTCTTATGCTTATTGGCTGTATAGGGCCTTTGCTGCACATTTTGATTATCTTAATGCCTTTAGTGGTTTAGCGTGACTCGTACTCACTAACAGTTAAAGTCAAACTGAAATGTCTATGAATACCTTATTCTTGGCTATGATTGAGTTTCGATCTGCATATCACCCTGCAGCAACTTTCTCTAGAACTTTTTTGATCATGTTGTTCTTACATTTGTATATAATTCTACTTTATGTCATCATCTTTAGTGCTGCCTTGAGAATTTGCTTTTACATCAGCATATTATGTAAAAACTTTAGATCCCGTAATTTTTCTTTTTGTTTCTGTACTTTTTATTGTTTCAGCTTCAATTCATATGCAAGTTTCTCTTGGAACTAACAGCCTCTTTATGAATGCTACTCTAGCAGCTTGTGTAGGAGGAAAAGTAAACCCAAGATAGCCCCACCTTCCACTCAACCAAAGATGAAAGGAAACAGTGACATACAGTGCAATAAACTTCCATTAGTAATGTGTAAAAGTAAACTTGTTCTTGCCTTCTAGTTTATGATCTGCCATAAATTATATATTAACAATAGCTAATAGTGAACAGACAAAAAGCTTACCTTTAGATGAAAGATATATTGGTCCCCATTGGTAGTTGACTTGCAATTTGAAAATATCCTTTCCTGTAATAGTTCAGTTTGCAATTAAATTAACTCACTAGAGTGAGAAGGCCATTCTAGAAAAAAAAAGGCAGAGCTAACACAGAAAAATCTCTACATTTAGGCTTATGAGTTGGTAAGACTCTAGCATTCGAAGCTTCTTGATTGAAGATTATTTGGTTTTCTGTCTGGTCAGTGTCCTTTAATTTGTATGCCTTCATTTTCTCTGTCCTATATTGTTTTCATTTGAGTCTTGCTTGCAAAGAGTCATATACATCTGGTTTCTGTGCGTTACTCTAGAAACTCAGTGCTGAAGGCTGTGTTTATGTTCTTTCAGGTCAGACATCCAAATATTTTGTCATTTTTGCACAGTACGGAGGCTGAAATCTTGGAAGGTTCTAGTGCAAAGGTTACCATCTATATTGTGACGGAGCCTGTTATGCCGCTTTCTGAAAAGATCAAGGAATTGGGTTTAGAGGGCAGCCAAAGGTGCAAAGTACTTTCCTTATGTTATTTTTACTTACTGATGCAGTTTCATTTGAATTGTGATTCAGATAATTATATCGTAATATTATTGAGTTTTTATTGTTATTATTGTTTGTCTGTCACTCACATGAGTTATATAATTAGTAGGTTTAATCACATTATCTTAGCATTCATACAAATCAAGACCAAGTTAAGTTAAATTTTATGAGATTGAGTTTTTCAGGGTCTATTTCTCCCGTTTTTCCAGAACATAAAAACTCAGTTTGTTTGTAACCTTATCTCATCTTTTGTCAGGGATGAATATTATGCATGGGGACTGCACCGGATAGCTAAAGCTGTGAGCTTCTTAAATAATGATTGTAAATTGGTATGCATCTTGAATTTTATGGTTTTTAGCATCTTTTCTCTTTGTTTGTAGACTAATAAAATAACCGTGCTTCTCCTCCAACTGGATATGGCTAGCTTTAGAAGAATGAGGGATTCACTGTCTTCCCATCTCTTAACTGTATCCTGTTTTGCCCTATGTATGCAAAGACTAATGTAGCCATGTGTGCAAAGACTAATATAACCATGTTGTGTGCTGCAGGTTCATGGTAATGTTTGTATGGCTAGTGTTGTCGTCACTCAAACATTGGACTGGAAACTCCATGCGTTTGATGTTTTGTCTGAGTTTGACGGGAATAGTGAAGCTTCTGCTGGACCAATGCTTGTGAGTTCTCAGTTTTGTATCCACCATTTTCTGCTTGGGTTACTGGCCAAACACGATTTTGGCTTGTATTTTTGTGTGTGTTATTTATTTATTTATTGTTTATTATTATTATTTTTTTTTTCTCTTTTTAAAAAAGGAGGATCAATAGTGTTCCCACTTCCCTTCCTTGGTGACTCGAACCCATGACCTATCGGTCATAGGTGAAGCTTTATACCAACAAGCTATGCTTCGTTGTCTTGTATTTTTGTGTGGTTAAAGTTGAAAATTGGCGTCTCTATCTCGAATTGTTATAAAAAGCTTTTGTCTTTTGTATAAACCCATCCTAATGGCTGTAGAATGCATATTATTTTGTTTGAAGATGCACAACCATAGAGTTCATTTCAAATATATGCCATAATGTTTCGAATCCAAAATGTTTTCTACTCTATGACATCCTATCCTTTTTTTTTTTCTTTTCTTTTTTTTTATATATATATATATATATATTTTAAAGCAGGTTCATTTATATACTGCTTTCTTAAATTTTAAAACTTTTCAGTTAAACACATTTTCGGATCTGCATATAAAAATATCTTAGATTGGTGCAATGCAAAGTTTGACCGGGTGGGTTGATATGTTCATTTGACAGTTAATCTTAATTGCTTGCAGTAGTAGTATCTGTATTTACATAAAAACTTAATAGTAAATTGCTTTTTTTTTTAAATGGTTCCTTCTTTTTTTCGAATTACGATATGCATTTCAATCTTGGTGCTGTTTCATTGAAAATATTTTACAGAAAGAAATATAGGTGATAAGCAAATATATAATTAGGTCTTGGGCTGAAAGTCAAACTGCCTCGTGTGACAAATTGAAAAAAAAAATCATTTTCTGAAAATATAAATGGAAATGGTATGCCCTTTCGAGGTGTAGAATTTGGTAGAAATGAGATATATGTATGTTGAAAGTGCTTATTTGACTTCTAAATAAGAAATCCTATTCTTGTGAGCTTTTTGTTTATTTAATGTTTTGTTGAAAGATATTGCTGATGTGGCTGCATTTTAATGGTTTAATTATTTCCTATCAAATTATTAGAGGCCATTTTCATTCTACCATTACTTTTGTTTCTGACACAGCAAAATGAATGGCTAATTGGTTCACAATACAAACCAACAGAGTTGTTAAAGTCTGACTGGTCAGTAATCAGAAAGTCACCACCTTGGGCTACAGATTCTTGGGGTTTGGGTGAGTGTCCTTTTGAACTTTAGTAGGAAGTCTTTCAGTATTATATGATGGAAGGATTGGGATTGATCGCAACACTAATATGTGGATGAAGGGAGGCTTAATTTCTTGAGCCGAAGTTAATTTAATGTATGATTTATATGATTTAAGTCTGCTGGTGTTCATTTATACATTCTCTCTCATATTTGTTTGTTGAAGATTGTGATTTCCTCTGAATCAAGGTTATTGTGCATATCATTTTGTGCTATTTGTGAATGCTGAATCGTTGGAAGTTTGGATGTAGATTATATATACTGTTAGCATGAAAAACTAGGATAATGTTTGATCCAAACACTATATGAACAACCAATCGCTTTACCTTCATGATATGTTCTTCCATTTTTCACAAGTCTGCCTGATTATGCTCACTCCCTTTTGTTTGGTTCCCTTCATATTAAAAGTTGGTCCCTTTAACACCTATCTTTATTCGCTTGCATTGTTGTTCTTTTGGCTACTCATGTATTCTGAATCATTCAAAGTTTGGATGTAGATTGAGCTAAGATGATTAGTTTTTCATAACCCATACATACTGTTAGTATGGAAAACTAGGATAATGTTTGATCCAAATACTATATGAACAATCAATTGCTTCATCTTCATGTTATGCTTTTCCAGTTGACAAAAGTCAGCTTAATTATGCACAATCACTCTTGTTTCTGGTTGGTTCCCTTCTGATATTGGAAGTTGTTCCTTTTCTGCCATTATTTTTTCAATTGTATCGTTGTTCTTTTGGCTATGTGGTAGCTTCCCTCTTCTTTTCTATTCTTCATTCCCCTGAAAGAACCACTTCTACTTTTTTGATTGGCAATTTGTAGGATGCCTAATATATGAACTCTTCTCTGGCCTGAAGTTGAGTAGAACTGAGGATTTACGAAACACCACCAACATACCCAAGGTGAGACCTGTTTATTTATCCTTCCACTAACTTGACTTGGGTGTTGTCACATTAGAAAAACTATGAAGCTTGCATATGTCTTGAGAAAGTACAATGCTTATTTACGTTTCATTTGTTGGCGCTTCTATGACCATTTGGTTTGCTATTTTTTTTTTTAAACTGTTTATTTCCCTGTTCCAGTCTTTACTTCAAGATTATCAGCGTCTGTTGAGTTCAATGCCATCCCGCAGATTGAATCCCTCTAAACTTCTGGAAAATAGCGGTAAATCCTGTTTCTTATTTGTGAGTCTAGAGGTTGAAATATAGATAAGTCGATTCACACGTTGTATTTTACACTAGTTAGTGTTTTGTTTTTCATTGTTACTTTAGAAATGCTGCTATGTTGATGTGTGCATCAGCATTTTTAATTATTTTGTAGTTTTAACAAGGTAATCACCATCATAGTTCTTATCATTCACTGATAAGCTGGTGCCTAGATATAATAAATCTTGGTTGAATATAATAAATCTTGGTTGGACCACAACTCAAATTTAATTCAACCCAACCTTTCTCAATATTATAATATAATTAAATATTACCAATCAATTATCCTCACACATCACATCAACTTTAATTCACCATTAATCTTCTCATATAAGTTCAACAATTCATCACTTCCAATCAATTTTCTCTTACTTTTACATCAACTCAACTTTAATCATTTTATTTTCAGTATTATTTCATTACAAACTCAAAATTCCACTCAAACCTACCTCGACCAATTTTTTCAAAATTAACTCTCGTTAACCAAAAAAATAAAAAATAAAAAAAAAATAAATCAAAACTCAACTTGTTTTGTATCCAAGCACACCCTAAGAGTACAACATCAAATTTCTCTTAGCTCCTTTTCCTGTCTTTCTTATCCATGTTTTGTTGCTCATAACTATAAGCCTATAATACACTGCAATTTATGTAATGTACTTTGGATGATTCCTAATGTATTTCACTCATTATAGGAAAATGTCCATTGATATTTGCTTTCAAATTTTTAATACCAGTAAGCCTGTGGCTGTTTCACTTCCCTTTTACATTAGTTGGCATTCTAAGATTTGGGTTTACTTGTTAGACATGTTGTTTCAGGCTGTTTTAATTCCCTTTTACCTTAATCGTCATTCTAAGTCCTGGGTTTACTTGTTTGACCTGTTTGTTTGGATTTTCTTTCTTCAAGTCTATGTGATAGGAGTAAAGTATAAATGAAAAGAGAGAACAATGATAGAAGTATAAAACTTCCCAGTAAGATAACTTGCCCAATAGCCCAATAGCCTAGCTATTAAGATTATTTCTACCCCTCATTTTCACTTCCTCACTCCCTTTTATAAGATTACTATTATTATTTATATAAGGTAAGATAGCTAATTTATAGCTTTCCATTCTCAAATGCCCAGGATCCCAGGAATCCATCTAAATCCCCTAATTCAGGCTTTCCATTTTATTCCCAAATTTATTTTATTCTTTCCCAACTTTCCATTTCCTTGAGTAGACAATCCATTGTTTTTCAACATTTTTTTCGGTATCTCTATCATTACCACCCGCCAGAGAAATAGCCTTTTTCCATAAGGCTAGAGTTAGGAAACTGCCCCTTGAAGTATGAGAGATCCAACCACGTGGCGTCATCAGTGGTGCCCATTGGACCAATACTTGTGGTGTGGTACCTGTAGTTGTGGTTAATCGACGAACCGCTACTATGTCATATGGTTGGTAGCCGACCTCATCCACTTGAAGCTCGTCGGGGATATCTTGGATAACAGGGTGGTGACCTTGGACCGATTTAAGTTGTGAAATATGAAAGACCGAATGAACCTTTGAAGTAGAGGGAAGCTGAAGCTTGTAATCAAAACTTCTGCTAAATCAAGCAAGGGCCATAGTATCGAGGGGCTAACTTTTGGTCCAATCTGTTGACTTTGCTTGTGAGGGCGAAGCTTGAGAAGGACACTATCACCCACATTAAACTCTACGTCACGCCTTGTACGATTGCAACTTTTGTCATGCGATGTTGAGCTTTCTCTAAGTTAAAAAGGAAGCTGACTGAATTGCGAGGGTTTACTTGTTAGACATGTTTGTTTGGTTTTCTTTCTTCAAGTCTATGTCTAATAGGAGTAAAGTATAAATGAAAAAGAGAGTAGAACAATGACAGAAGTATAAAACTTCCCAGCAAGATAACTTGCCCAGTAGCTATTAAGATTATTTATACCCCATGCCTCATTCTCACTTCTTCACTCCCTTTTTTAAGATTACTATTATTATTATTTATAAAGATAACTAATTGATAGCATTCCATTCTCAAAGGCCCAGGATCCCAGGAATCCACCTAATCTCCTAATTCAGGCTTTCCATATTGCATTGCTGATTTTATTCCCAAATTTATTTTATTCCTTTCCATTTTTCCCAGACAAACCATTGTTTTCAACCTTTTTTTCGGCATCTCTATCAATGTCAAAGCTGGCTTCTAATGATTTTAATGCTGAAAGAGCCTGGATGTGATACATGGTCTGTTGGCCTTGGACATTTTATGATGGTAGTTGCTCAAGTGGTATGCCTTTTGATGTTGGTTTCTCTAACTTGAGGTCCATATTAATCTCTTAACTGAAGACGACACTCTGTCCTCAAGGTCTGCAGATTGTGGTCAATGTATTGAAGCCTGTTGGTCTGAATTGAGATCCCAAGGATTAGTTATTCGAGAAACTCTTTTTTATTTTTTTTTTTTATTTTTTTCATCAAGATGTGTGTGGCCTTTGGCCTATATATCTTATGTCAGCAAATACTAATTACTAGAGTCATTATTCAGCATAAAACTTTATCCTCAGAAGTTGATATTTAACTGTGAGGCTTTTGTTCACAATGAACTTATTTCTCCTTGATTCTTGATATCAATGTATGTTTCCCTTCACCTTTATGTTCTTTAACCCTCAACCTTGACACAAAGTGCAAAACCATTAAAATAAAATAAAACATCAACCTTCTTATTGGGGTCATTATTTCTGTACAAATATAAGTGAAAGGCAGTATTGTGGCTTCTGCTTAGGAATGGAGGTCTATGTTCTTCTCTTTTAGTCGTTTGAGTTGTGAGATTGGGTGTGAGCTAGAGCTCAAGTTAGAAACCTTCAAAAGTTGGCTGCTGAGTGTCATACTAATGATATATATGGAACAGGATAACACCATTGGCTCCTATTGTACTTTAAATTTTACAGTTAATGAGTCAGTTACTCATTTTTCCTGGTTCTAGCATGAAGGCAATTTGCTCATTTGAATTGTAGAATGTTCTGGGGGCAGTATAATTTACTTTTGCTAGTTTAGGAACTGGATGGCTTGTTCGTCTTGTTTTCTCAAATTTTACTTTTTGTTCCACGTATACAATGCTTGTTTTGAACAGATTAGTTTAGCATACCTTTAACCGTGCTTCTTCGTGGTTAGCATGCAGTTCTGATAACTATTTGCTGTATAGTCATAATGTCCATACTGAGGTGTGCCATCTTGTTTTCTCCTATGTTAGTTTTGGTTGGGTACTTCAGTTAGATGGAATCACCAAATTTAGACTTCAACTGCATTTTAAATTAGATTTTTTTTTTTTTTTTTTTTTTTTTTTTAAAATTTGATTTAATTTAAATTTTGTATATGTTATCAAAATGGCTCAATTAAATTCTAGTGCTTCTTCTATTAGTGAAGTTTTTAGAAAAAAAATAATATATCAAACGACGCAATGCACCTTAGGTCGCTACGGAAACAGCCTCCTTGTATAATTACAAGGGTAAGGTCTGCGTACAACCGACCCCCAGACCCCAACCAGTTGGGAATATACTGGGTATGTTGTTGTTCATGAGCTAAGATTTGCTGGTGATTTCGACAGAGTATTTTCAAAATAAGTTGGTGGAGACCATACAGTTTATGGAAATTCTTAACTTGAAGGACAGTGTGGAAAAAGATAATTTTTTCCGTAAGCTTCCAAATCTCGCAGACCAGCTACCACGCGAGATTGTGCAGAAAAAGGTATCCAAATGACCAATCTTTTGTTGTTTATCCTATGCCAGTTAGTTCACTAAGAATGTAGGGTTGTTTAGCTGCTTCCATTGCTAGCATCTGCATTAGAATTTGGCTCAGCTACTGCGCCTGCGTTGACTGCACTGTTGAAAATGGGAGCTTGCCTTTCAGCAGAAGAATATGGTCTTAAGGTTAGTGATCTTTATTCTGTATGTGAGCGTTTATTTCGACTCTTGTTTAAGTTTGGCTGTGCCCAGTATTACATGGCGACACCTTGGAGGTATGGCCTGGCATACTTCTGACTAACCACGGGATTTCACCTGCTGCCATTTTTTGCCATCCGCCATTGATAACACTAGTTATGCGGTACTGATTATAAACGAAAACCAACTATTGTTCTTGATCGTTGTTTTTCTCTGTAGGTATTACCAACTATTGTCAAGCTTTTTGCATCTCATGATCGTGCTATTCGCGTTGGGCTTCTTCAGCACATTGACCAATATGGCGAGTCATTATCTGCGCAAATTGTTGATGAACAAGTATGTCGTATGATGATTTTGTGTTTATAGTTCAATCTCCCTTGTGAGTAGTGTACAAACTTCTGACGTACTGTCAACGATATGAAGGATGTTAAGAAATTATTTGTCTGATAACAGGTTTATAATCATGTTTCCAATGGGTTTTCCGACACATCTGCTTTTCTGCGGGAGTTGACGCTGAAATCTATGCTTGTTCTGGCTCCTAAGGTGAGAACACCTTCCAAAGTATCATTTCTTTTGGGTACCCTTAATGTGCTTGATTTGCAAACTGATGACTAACATGTCCACCAGAGTCTAGCTGCTTGAGGACTAAAGTAGACAAATTGATCTTTTATGTAATCCATACTGCGTGATACTTGCCCACATAGTGTTTATCTGATAACATTATCTTTGTGGTCTGCTGCTATGTAGTTGGTAGGGCTCCAACATGTATATGATTTTAGTGTAGCAGAGGCTTGATCTGTATTGCAAATGTTGTTTTAGATGATTTGAGGTGAATTAATGGCTATTCAGTTCATTAGAATGATACAGGTTTCATACTTGGTGTTGAACCAACAGCATGCTGTTTTATTTTGTACCAACTTAATTGCTTTTCACCCTTTTATCAGTTATTCATTATTATTTATTTTTTCACAGCTCTCGCAGCGGACAATATCAGGGTCATTGTTGAAGTACCTTTCAAAGTTACAGGTATGTACTACTTGTTTGTGTAGATGCTACCGGAGCTATACTTGAATTTGCTGTTTTTTTTTACCCTGTGAAATATGAAGAGAGAGAAATAATCTATGTGCATGTTTGAGGTATGGCGGACTCTCATTTTCCCGTATTTATTGAAGGAGTAGAGACTAGGTTACATTACTATTTTTGACAAAATAAGAAAATCTCCGTACCATATAAAAATGATTATAATCTACCTAAATATACATGAAATATTTATACACAATAATAAAATGATAAAATCTTTAACCCTTCCTTGAGGTTATATGTCAATCATTTATAGCTTGTCACATAATTAAAAAAAAAAAAAACTGTGTTCCTCATAACGATTTAGTGAATACATCAATAACTTGATTGTGATATGAAACTAAGTTCTAAAGTTTCTGACTTATTACCCACTCCAGAATGTTGTATTGATCTCGATATGCTTGATCCTCTTATGAAAAACTGATTAATTGCAATGTGAATAGCTGCTTGGTTATCACAATACATTGGTAGTAGGTCGTTTTAAGAGGACTTGCATCGGTTTGTCCATGAAACGACTAACCACTCCAACCACAAAGGAGATGTCAGGCCTTTGTGAAGTAAATGAGTTTCCTACCTTATCCTCAACGAATTCTCCACTATCATCCCAAATATTTGAATTGACGTCCGCATGAGAGTTCATCGTTTTGGTTCTAAGCAGTTCAGTCTCGGCCTATAACTTATTTATGAGACTTCAGACTTAATGTGAGCAATCTCAATCATAATTATTAAAGGTGAATAGCGAGCCGTGGCGATTTGCTCACAGCTTCGCCTTGAGCACTAGGGGAGGCCATGGCGCTGCCTAGCGAACATGCCTCCACATTTAGGAAAAATAATGAAACTAAACTGTAACGCCCCACTTTTATTTGCCAAAATTCAGGATAAATTTTTCAAATTTATTTCAAAACAATACTTGAGGCGCTACTCATTTTTAAAACTAATATCAAAATTCAAACAATTATCAATACTCAATCCTCAGTACTCATTTATCAATAATTAATACTCCAACAATAGTTCAGTTCAATAATCGATAACCAATCCAATTATCCAATACTCATGCAGTCTTAGGGAATACATTCCCTCTCAATAATCCAGTAATCAATAAGACAATAATAACAATAATTCAATTTCAAGCGGAAGCAATAACAATTTTTGTGACCACCACTCGCTTCCCTCTACCGTGCCCGCCATACTAACCTGCATCCATGAAGAGAAGGTGCGGGTGAGCACAAGAGGAAATAGTAGTGCTCACCACTATGCAGTAAATGTTAATGACAATAATCAACAATAATCAGTAATCGAAAGGTATGGTCTCAGCATGTATACGAAGCAATAATCTATCCCATTCTCCCATCAGTAATCAATAATACAAATCATAGACGCATGTGCACACCTATATCAATAGACTACTGCTGACTATATATCGAAAGCCACGGCCCTCGGCCTTTTGGTCTTACAACGAGTGTCCAGCCAGTAGGAGTTTCCCTCGTCGGCCGAGCACCGCCCTGACTCACAATGGGGAACCGACCGAGCACCGCCCTGGTCTCATAATTCCGACCGAGCACCGCCCTGGTCTCACAGGCGCATAGAGGAGATTACCCCAACGGGGTCCGTTCTATAATTACGGGGATAACTGTTCGTTGGCTGATACAGCTCACACCGAAGGCTACATGATCCACATGCATACTTTGATCATACCACTAATAAATAATTTATTAACATTTACAGCATAGAAAATTTTCAAATAAAACCCACCTGGTGTCGGATGATAAAGCAAATTAACCAGAACATCGTAGGTGGTTGAGACATTGCTCGTCAGACACGTGTCTACATAAGTTATGACAGTCCCATAAGCAACTATCTCGACTCTTACACAAATAACGAGAATTTACTTAGTCGAATCACATCGACTATGAAACTCGTGGAAGTTGTGGAGTTGGAACATTGGGACGACTCTTAGACTCGACTAACCAATTAATAAATCATATAAAAGCAGGCAATAAAGGTTTGACACAAAACGGGATCAATAGGTCAAAGACTTGCCATTAAAGCCAACCGGTGCCAAAACTGGTCAAAAGAACTAGTTCAAAGTTTATAAGAATATGGCTATAAGGAGTAAGGCTTGGACAACTCAATTCAATTTTTTTTTTTACAACACATAGAGGACTGAAAATCACATATTTTCACCAAAGGAAAATCTCTAAACATGCTCCTAACCAATTTAAATAAATCAAACAAAATCTGACCAGAAATCGAATTAATTCGGTTAAAATAGCTACAGTCCGAATTAAATTCTGAAATTTAAGATATCATGTAGAACAACAACATATCCAAAAATTAGCCAAATTGGACAAGAATTCAATTTTATATGAATTTATTACGAAACAGCCCAGAAACGGTTTTCGAGTTTTGACGAGGCTACAGGCCATAATAAATTCTCATATTTTTCTCACAAGTAATACGACAACAACTTGACCACATATCCAAAAATCAGAATTTTTGGAGCAATATACGATTTATAAATATACGATTTATAGTGATTTTAGTAAAAACGGGCCGCAACACCATTTTCAAAAATTCATAACTCACATAATACACATCGAAACGACACAAGGCCAAAGCCGTTGCGTCAAGGACATCCCCAAGTCCAATAATCCACAAAACTTCCACGGAAAATACGACATAACCTCAGTTCGACATTTTTTCAAAGTGACGACAATCACTTTGACATCCAAATTGCAAATATATAACCAAATTTCACACAAACACTTATCCAAGGCACGTAATGCATACGAGATACAAACGTTCAGCAATTTAACATTAAAGATAGTTCAACATATATCATATTAACACATACTACGAAAATAAACGAGACGAGGTTCGAGCCTAGGTACCGTTCTCGAGAAAAAGTCAGAAAGACGGAATGTAGGACACGAACGGGGTGATGGGCTCGAAGGATTTTCGCGTCTCGCCGGGAAAAGAGTGCAGCAGCGGTTGAGCGCGGCGAACTCGCTAGCAGGTGTTGAACTCCGCCGGAGGGTTCGCGATCACGAACAGCAAACGATGGCCGCGGTGGTGCACGGTGGAGATTCTGAATGGAATCGCGAGGGAAGTCGCGATTGATGGTCAATGGCCCGGGACTGTACGCACAAGGGAATCGGAGATGGAGGCGCTGATCACGGCTTGCTGCCCGCTTTGGTCTCGGTTATCTCATATGCAGCAGCACGGGATCGGGTAGGCTTGAGTATGTTTACGCAAAGCCTCGTTCTTCCTCAGCGACACACACACACGTGGTCTGCCCCTGTCTCGCTGCTACTTGTTCACCACGGCGGGTCTCGTCTATAGCCCCAGATTGTACGAGCATGTCGGCGGTGGCTGCCTTTGGTCGGATGGCGCTACGTCCCCGACGGATCTCAGTGGCTGGTGCTCGCAGACGGCGGATCGAGTGCAAACCGACCTCTGACCGAGGCTTCTCCTCAGGTTGCGGCGGCGAGCGGCGGAGACCTCTTGTGCTCGGCGAGGCTGGTCTGGTCGCCGGGAAGGAGGGCTGCTGATTCGCGAAGCTTTCGAACAGCACAGGGGTTGGTCGCTCCCGACGGACTGTTTGGGTCGTCTCGCGGTGGCTGCGATTAACGTGCGAGAGAGAGAGAGCAGGAGAAGGCGATAGAGATATTGGGATCGACCAACAGAAAATCTCGTTCAGAAGAGTTGGGAGCGAGCAAATTTTATTTCTCTGCTAGGGTCTGCGGAGTGTTTGATCGTGAGGGTGATGGAGAGAGATAGGGAGGGTGACTTGGGCCAAGATTAAACATATCTTAATGGGCCTAAACCAAAAGCATAAAGGCCAAAAAGACCAACAACATTTGGCCCGAAATTCTCAACTCAAATGGGCCAGAAAATAAATCACTTGCCACCCAAGATAAAGGGAAAACGGGTCGGGGCGCGGGTTTGCCGGGTAGGGTTCTCTCTTGGTTCAACACTTAGGATCAAATATTCGGGCTCAGAACACACGATAATTAAATTAAAACCGAATAAATATACATATATATATCACGTTTTATTTAATAATAATATTAGGCAATTAGACAATTAATAAATTATTAATAATAATAATATAATAATAATAATAATAATACTATCCGAAAATAAATCCAATAATCGAACGGGGCGTTACATAAATCATATTTGTAAGTGCATGTTGCAAAATCATCTTAAAAATTTCCATCGTAATTTTTGTTGTTTTTCTTGAATTAAACCATAGTTTTTTTCGTTTTCTACGGGGATGGGGATTGAGGAAATTTTACTTTAAAAACATCTAAAAAAATGTTAAATAGAGTAACCTAGTTTTACTTCGTAAAGTTCTACATTTTTGTTGGTTGGGGCACACGTGGGCGCTTGAAGCGATGCAAGAGGTACACACCTCGGCAACCTATGGCGAGGTGATGTTGGGACACGTGTTATTAATGGAATATGGTAGGCCTTGGCAGAAAGCAAAGAATCCGCCATATATAAATGGCCGATGGCATGGCGAAAAATGGTGGAAGCCTTGGTGGACCCAATGATGTATACTTTTGAACATGTATGCATCAAATATATAAACGAAAGCCCCATATAATTTAGAAAAATAGACACTAGGTTCACAAATTAGCAAATACCAACCGACATTCACAAATTTCAATTGTTCAAGACAACCACACATGAAAAGAAAAATAGGAAGTCAATCAAGCACAAATGAAATAGATACTGAAATCCTCCTTGCCTTACATCTATGGTTTCTCAAACATCACAATGAATTAGCTCAAACGAAAAAAACTTACTTTTATTAACTCTAAAAGGAAAAGATGCCCGGTGATGTTTACCCAACATTCAAGTCTCACACTGGAAATCAGTAGAATGAACAAGAATTAAGCATTTTAGGGAGAAAAGGGAGGAAGAAGACGGATGGCCAGGAGACCCGTGCCGGCAATACAACTGATAAGGAACACAATGGCTGCCCGATGGTGTTTACCCAACTCTCAAACGCAACCCATGCAGGAAATAAGTGGGCTGAACAGTAACTAAACTACATCTTAGGGAGAAAGGAGAGGGATGACCGAGACAAGAATACTAATAATAAGGAGACACAATGGCTGACAAAGCATGAGAGATGTAGGAGTAACGACATCCAAGTAGTACATGCCACCAACTCATGCTCTGCACGAGCTGCTCTCTTCATCTGCAAATCTATAGAGACAATAAAGACACAATAGGATAGATAAAAAGTCGCAACACAATTATGAGTTCTCATTAGTTGACTTGTGGAAATTTGGTTGCAATAAGAACATTATTAAGATCAATATTATTAGCAGGCTTGACAATACTAGTTCTAGTTGCAGGAGAAAAATAAAGTATCTCCCTACCATTAAGATCTCTCTACCATATGGGAATGATTCTAATCTACCTAGATCAAGTGAAGATATATACCGAAAATATACACACCAACAAAATCTCCAACATACACTACTTTTCTTCTTTGTTTAATCATATTGGTTTCAAGTTCTAGGCGAGACTCATATCTCAACTTTTGTTTGTGATGCAGGTTGATGAAGAACCAGCAATACGGACAAATACGACCATATTGCTTGGAAATATTGCCAGTCACCTTAATGAAGGGGTTAGTTTCCACTTTGTTACTGATCATCTTAATGTGGACCTTTAAGAAGCATCTATGGTCATTTATACTGAAAATATTGTAAGATAAAATTAACATTAAATGATTTATTGCTGTTGCAGACAAGGAAAAGGGTACTCATAAATGCATTCACAGTTCGAGCTTTGCGTGATACATTCTCTCCTGCCAGAGGAGCAGGTAAAGCTTTACCTTTTTTATTCATCTCATATTTGTAACATTATACAGATCTTGGGTTAGCAACTCCTGATAATTCCTTTTCCCTTTTGTGTGAGACAATCGACAACTTTTCTCCCCGATAACTTGAATCTATTCCCCTGCCTTCCCTCCCACCGAACCTATTCATTTCATTCTGTCTAGTAATGCTACTCTTTATGCAAGGTATTATGGCTCTGTGTGCCACTAGTTCTTATTATGATGCCACTGAGATTGCTACCAGAATTTTGCCAAACATTGTTGTCCTGACAATTGATCCAGACAGGTATTTTTATCCTCTGATTATTACTTCGTTGATATCATTTGTCTTCTCTCGAAAACAATCTCAGAAATCTCGCATGTTATTTTAGGATTATTTGGAACATGCCCTCTTGCAATTTGGAACTGTAGATGACGTGATCTCTCGTTACTAAAAATCACATTGGCTTTTTTATTTTCTGTGCAATTTGTTCTTCAACACAATGGAAACCTTTTTCATATTTCAAACTTCAGACTATTGTACAATTGACCAATATGGTTTTGAGGTTGACTCTACCAGTGGCCTGTAGAAGTTTCAACGTGATACCAAGTTTTAACTCATTTATTGCACTTGGCATTGGACCTGTTTTTATATTTAGAAAACCTTCTATATTAGTGAAATAGAACATTCTGTTATATTGCCTTTTCACCTCAGCAAATACTTCTATTTGTTTCCTGTTCTTGGAACTTACTTGGTTGTGATCTTATTGTTCTGGAACTTGATCAATCATGCTTGATTTTCTTTTGTGGTTACTTGTTGATTTTCTGTCACGTGGATTCATTTCTGTCTAAGGATCACATGCTCGATATATTTAATTTTCCTTCCTCTAACCCCTTTTCGATAGTTTATTCTGATGTTTCTGTTTCATTTGCTAGCGTTTTTATTGTGGATGTACTCTTGTCCCTCTTTATTTACTATGCAACTCACAGTGTTAGACTTTTCTTGTGTAGCCTTTCTTCATTTCCTCATTGTTCTATGTTATTTGCAGTGATGTTCGATCAAAAGCATTCCAAGCAGTTGAACAGTTTTTGCAACTGGTGAAGCAATACCATGAGAAGGTGATAGTTAGTATCACTGCCGTCTTTCTACCTTTGTCTGTTGTTTGCTTTTTTAAAGCCTAGTTGTAATTGTATTTATGAGATGATTTATGTCAGATAGTTCAAGTGATTCTTAAAATAAACCAGAGCAATATTTTGTTCGTATATGGGACTTATTGCTCTGTAGAGGTTGCTGTTCACCAAAACTTCCAACAAGTATTTTCGAATATGTGACATACATGCTTTTAAGTATTAATAAGATATATTTTTTTGACACTTAAAGGTATCTTATGATATTGCTGGGCGAATATATATATATATATATATATATACTGTAAACACAAACTTGCAAAGTGCTCATAAGACTAATGATCAATATGCATATTGCTTTTGAAAGTGCTACTTTGACATAAATAGTTTAACCTAAGTGACATTGAATTTTAGAAGTTTTTGATCTTTAAGATGATGCGAGGTGTGAAGTAGTGAGAATATGTGAAGTGTGTACACCTGTATGTTGGAGTGGGGAGTTTGTTGCTACGGGATTGAGTTTTAAATTCAAGTATCATGACCTTATTTTTTGATAATTCTTTTTTGTTACCCCTATAATTGGAATTTCTCGGATCTCCCAATATCTGATGATGGATGCCTGAAAGAGGCTACATGCATCTCCTTGTTTGTGCCGTTTGCATCAATGATTATGCCTCTTTGTCTTGGTTAACATTTTCGTAAACCTTAATTATAATTTTTGAAGATATTTCCACAAACATGGCATTGGTTTTGGTTCAAGAAATTCGGAGTGCTAGGTTTCATGATGACCTCTTCTGTCATTTCTCTTTTACGGTGTACTTTTAAGGTTTAATTGCCACTTTTTTTATTTTCTGTAGACAACAACTGGGGATGTCACAGGTACAGGCACGGGGATTTCATCAATTCCTGGCAATGCAAGTTTACTTGGGTATGCTATCTCTAAATTTCGGCCTTTCGGGTTCTTCTGTTAATCTCTTTATGCAGTAGATGCATGACACATATTTTGGTTTCAATGAGATTAAAATGTAGAAAATATGGAACTGAAGCATCCAAGATCGCCCTCACTAAGTTTTTTAAACATCAGTTCCCATTTTGATGGTTTTTGTCTCCTTCACCCTGGGTTACCTTTTATCATATAGTGCTAACCATTTTTGGACTAGATTGGTCGACAACCTAAGGGTTTGATATCAACACCTTGTTCCTCTGGTGACTGAACACAAAGTTAGGATTTAATTCCTTTGGGCGCAGACGTTTGTGTTTCTTGAGGGCATTTAAATGCGTTGTTGTTAGCATTTGTAAACAAGGTTTATCAGTTAAATAGAGACAACCTAATGTCATAACGATTAATGTCATTCGTTTGTTTTGTTAATTCTTATTGGGTAGTATGATTGCATCTCCTTCAATCTTTCCAGTTTCTACTTTCTTTTTATTTTTCCGTTTTCCTTCTTTCCGCAGCCTACATTATGAATAATAGTGGACATCTGAGATAAATAAGCCCTTTTGAATAGGCAGTCTTCAGCTAAAATTCTATTTTGGTATGGCCCGGAAATGAAAATGGAAAAATATGTTTTAATATTTGTGACAAATTTATTTCTGATTGGCTAATTTCTTTTGTCCCTATATTTATTTTCAAATATCTCAAATGATTTTTTGTGGTATCTTGTTATTGAATTGATATTTTATCTATAATAATAGATCACAAAATTATGTGTATTTGTCAAATGTAATAATTGAATATGTAGATTACGGGACTCACTCTGAATGATTTTATATGTTTGAGCCAATGTGGGATTGTGTTTGACTGTGATGTTATTTAATGGAATATTGATGTGGAAGAGAGAGAATGGTTTGCATTCAAATGAATACTAATAATAACTGTAGAAATATATAGAACATTCTTATGGTTGTTTATCCGCTTTCCCCTGATCTCTCTGGTTTCTCAGAGAATGGAGATATGTTTAGGCTGCTTATTGCAGCCATAAATTTTTACCCGGAATAATTTGGTGCCTTTCTTCCTTGAGAAGAGATTTTCCCTTCATGTTCAACATTAATATGATGGTGCAGATGGGCTATGAGTTCTTTGACTATGAAAGGCAAACCTTCTGAGCAGAGTACACTGGCTTCATCAAACACAAGTGCACCTCTTGCATCTTCCACCTCTAATGCCAGTTTCGGTACACCTCTAATTATTTTGTAAATAAATTAATACTGTGAAATTGGATGTTAAGAGGTCTTTCCCATTTTAGCTATATGTGATTGTGGTTGTCTGCAGATTTATTTCCTGGACACTGCTAATTAGTGTTTGTTTGTCAACAGTGATGGAGGATGCAAGTATAGCGCCAGTCCGCGTGAGTTCCAAGACTGACTCAAGTCATTTTGTTGATCACAACCGACCTCCATCCCCAGCATCGACTGATGGGTGGGGAGAACTCGAAAACGGCATTCCTGGAGAAAATGATAGTGACAAAGATAGCTGGGATGACATGGAACCACTCAAGGAGGCGAAACCTTCCCTTGCTCTTGCAAACATCCAGGAAGCTCAAAAGCGGCCAGTCTCTTTGCTGAAACCACAAGGTACATCTCTCAACTTTCTGAATCATGACCAGGTCAAAGAGTAATATTGAAGTCAACAACTCCAACCCCCTCGCCCGGCTTAGTTGCTTGTCATTTTGGTTCAAAGAATTCGTACCAAAATAATTGTTGGTTAAAGAACTTAAATAATTGGCCCAATCCTCCAAAATTGTCCATGTTTATGATGGCTTGTGTACCTGGATTCATAAATTGGAAAATGTTTGTAAGATGGAGAAATGCAAACTTTATGGTAAGATTATGTGATAGTTATACTGAACTGAGGGTACAAACAGACAACTAGTTTTGGGATGGACGGAATTCCTGATTGCTAGTCATGACACTGAAAGAACAGTGTTAAATAAAATTTAGGTTAATTACAAGTGATGAAGGTTTGACCGAATTACAGAGAGAGAAATTTGTTCGTCATATTTTATGAATATCCCTACGACGGTTCGTATTTATTTATCATATTCCTTTCTGAATAGGAATAAAATATTTAAATAGAAGCATATGTTAAGAGTATTAGTAATTTCGAGAAAACATATTATTTGGAAACTTGAGTGTAGTTTTAGAATCCGTAGAAGGCTTTGACCTGCAGGCTGTTTCCTCTTTTCCACTTTAGAATTTTTGGATATTTATCTCACTAGAAGTTTATTGTTTGTGGTCCAGTTCTGAATTCAAGACCTAAGAGCAGCACACTAAAGCCGAGTAAAGGCGATGATGGTGACTTGTGGGGTGCTGCAGAGGACCCTACTCCTAAATCCATGCCCAAACCCTTAATTGGACAAACTGACAGAGTAGTCAATGACGATGACCATCCTCGTGCTGCCTCGATTCCCAAGACTTCATCCAATTCGCTGAATTTGAAATCTGGTGGGTCAGCGGATGACCACCTCTGGGCCTCCATTGCAGCTCCTCTACCTTCAGCCGGGCAGAAGCCTTTGTTGGCTGGACGAAGTCGGACAGGCAAACCTGCTGTTCCAAAGTTGGGTGCTCAAAGGATAAACAGAACATCCTCAGGGATGTAAACTTCAGATATCAGATTTGGGATTCAAATTCTTTTTCTCTTCGTAAATCAAAATCTTCTTCCCCATGTTTGGTTTGGAATATTCTTTTGGAGCAGAGCATTAATTTCTGTGTGCAACAAATTTTTTTTTTCTTTTTTTTTTTTAATATGAATATTATATTTCATTTGTTATAGAATCCATATTTCTGCAAAAGAAAAAGTTTGTTCTAAAAAAAGGAAAGTATAGATTTTTTTATTTAAATAAAAAATAAAAAAAGTAATTGGACAAAAAAAAAAAAAAAAAGTGGACCGAAATAAAACAGGCGTATTTTCGAAATACTGATACGGAAGTTATTAACCCCGGTGAGTCAAGTGACAGGATGGTCGAAGACCTCGAGAGTTGGCTCGAACACGAGCTGGAGGAGTCACAAATCGAAGGATACTGGCCGAGAGGGTGTGGCCCGAGGTCCAGAAGGCGCAAAACCAAGCGAGCAAGAAGGCAGCACAAGCCGAGGGCTAAGGAGGTAAATGATTGGTGCAAGGCTTGTGCGAGGAAGCGTCGAGCTTGGAAGTTAGAGGTTAAGAGAATGGGTGCGCGAGGGGTGAAAGATGGGTGGAAGATGCGTGCTGGAGATTGCTATGGGACGATGTGCGAATGGGCGAATGCGAGCGAGTTGCGCGCATCGGACAATGATGCGCGCGATAGGAAGGGGCACACGCGGATAGCACTGGGCGTACGCGGGTGCGCAGCAGACGAGCCGGCAACGGAGGCTAGCGGTACGCGCAGTGCAGCGGTGATGAAGATCGTGTATCCGCCTCAACCCGAATTGCTTGAAACCCGCGCCGACGCCTTGGTCACGAAGCGATAGGTTGCTAATACGCGCGCCGACGCTTTCGTACTTCGCGATAGTTGTGAAGAAACCCGGATGTTGGTCCTATTTCTAACACGATTTTGTATGTAAACTCACACAGAAGAGTTGGTGAACAAACGTTCGATTTTCTATTAATTTCTTCGATATTCAAATTGAATGAGAACATTGGGTATTTATAAGAAAAACTAGATATAGTCCTATGAGAACTATAATTCTAACTAGGAAATAATATCTAGTCCTAAGGTAACTAAATGTCTTGCATCCCAAGACTTAACAAAATATAAAATACCTAACTAATCTAAATATCCTAATAAATCACGGCTAAATAATTACTTAATCAAATAAACTAACTACTAACCTAACGAATCTAATAATGACGTGAATAAATCCTAACATATCTATATTACTAACTCTAATACTAATCACGCCACTAACAATATAACACGTAACTTATACTAACCAAACTAATAATTAATTAAACAATAAACTAATCCTAACAATAATCTAATTAAAATAAATAGTCTTCTAGAATCTTTGATCCTCGGCTCGCTGAGCTTGCCTCGTGTATTCGCGCATCACGTCCGTGTACGCCCCCGCGTGCTTGGTCGCGCGCTATTCCTCGCCTCACGAGGCTTCTCGAACCTTCTCGTGCACGTGTCTCATACCGGGTCTCACCCAGTACTCGTCGTCGACCTGCAGGGTTTCCAAGTCTCGGCCATGCGCGTCTTGACGTCGTGTGATAAGCCCGAGGCCATGCGTGTGTCCACGACTCACGTCGCCTTCTTCGTGAACCTCGCATACGGGCTCGTACCCGTCTTTTAGGCCATGCATGCGTGGTTTTGGCCCTTTTCTCGGCCTTCTCGGATCGTCTTGGCCATTGGCTCTCGGCATGCTCGAGCCTCGAAAGCCACTTCCGCATCATTCCGCCCCCCTTCGAATGAGTCCTTGTCCTCAAGGACTCGTCAATTAACACCAGTTGGGGCTTCTCCTCCTCAAGCTCGACTTCCTCGGTCTCTTGAAAATAGTTAATGAACATAAGCGGCCCTTCATAATCCGTCGACTGCTCCACGTACTCAGTGGCCTCCAAGTCCTCAAAATATTTCGGGAATTCAAACGGAAATTGGGCTCCTCGTCGAAATATCCCGGAAATTCAAACGAGAACGTGGGTTCCTCGTCGAAAAAACCTGGAAATTCGAATGGAAATTTTGGCTCTTCGCACCGTTCTTCGATTCGGCTTTCACCCTTTTCGGACTCGCCTTGGCCTACGTCGGTCCCTTGTTGGATGCACCACTCTGCCATGCGGCTCTCAGACCAAAATCGATCACTTGCCTTGTCCCTGCGGATCGCTCGATTGCGTTTGGTGCGGGTCTCGGTAGTTTTGTGGGATATACGTTTGATAAATTCTCGAGCGCTCTTCTTCAACTATTCCAAGGCTTGATTTCTTTATTTCTCCCGTGTCTCCAATTGATCCCTCCACTCCAAATTATTATTCAACATTTTTTTAACTCACACAAACTCAAAGAGATTTTTTTGGGTGTTACTAATTACCGCCCCCCCTTGGACGATTTCGCCCTT